TTGATGAGTTAGCTGTAGTCCAGGAACCGGGATATCCAAACTATTAACTACAAACTAGGCTGTAGTTAGAGTTCTGTTGGAATTCTGATAATCTATTTTCCAATCATCTATGCTTCATACTAATTTTCAATAAGTTTGACTGTTGTTAAATCCACAGGTTTTCTAGATTGTAGACTAAGGTGCAGGTTTGTCATGTCTTGGTGTAGTGGAAGGGATGTGTTCGATAAATAATTTGACCACTCTCTGCATGCAGCGTTTTTACACATAATGTGTGGTGGCAAAATGTTGCAAAGAACTGGGAGTCATTCTGCTGGCGTTGATTTCACAGTACCAGATATAATAGAGTGATTAAGTTGAATATAGATCAATGCAAAATGTTTAGCCTTACTGAAGAGACATACTCTGCAGCAAAGTAGACTAGCACTAAGGCCGATGTTCTAAATGTAGACATTGATGCTCCCCGGGATAAGCCAGATACTTGTGAATGTTGTTCTAGGTTATGAGCTTAGCTGCAGTGTTTTCGATGTGATGTTTGAAAGTTAATTGTCTATCAAGTATAACTCTTAAGTACATTGGAGACTGATCATATTTAAGCCTTTTTCCATCAAATTAAAATTTGAAGTTTGTGCCATTAAATTAAAATAGAACAGTAACTTGTAAAAGAATTATTACATTTAAATACAATGATTTTTTTTTTTTTTTTATTGATCTTTTTTTAGCCTGGCATCTATGGCCATTAGCTGTTAGTAGGTTGTAAGGTGGTGATGGTAGGATTTTTTGTTGGTGGGGGTTTACACGTGAGTGTTTGTGTTTTGGCAGAATTTTGAATGGGGCACCCCTAGGTTTCTGCCATGCCACGGAGTGGGGGATGGCAGCACTTGTTCTCCGGACACCGTGACTTGCCCGGAGAAAAATGCCGCCCAGTGGTCGAGGATTGAACCCGAACCGGCAGCGCCGCAGCCGACGCGTTGACCGCTCGGCCACCTCATCCCCCATACAATGAATTATATTATTACACTATTAGACAAACTTGATGATGATTTTTAGCTAACAATTCATTGCCTTACATCATTAATTTAAAATTGACTTTCACATAATATTTAAAATAAAACCATTACCTATTATAAATTATAATTATGCAGTTTTAATTTTTATTTAAAATACTTACTCTAAGAAACTGGCACCAAAGATCAAGGAACCTGAATCGGCCCACAAAAATAATGTTCCAGTAAGTAATAGCCATATCAAGGTCTAAGCCTTTTTGACCTATATTCTTAGCATAATTGAATGTAAAATAGTAAAAATCTTTGAATTTTGATGGTTCTGAAAGTTCTTTTTCTATTATTGGTAATCTATGTTTTAATTTCTCTATTGAATCAGACCTAATAAAAAAAATAAATAAATTATACATTTGTAATTTGTTCACATGTAATACTATGTTAAACTTATCCTACTAATAAACTAATTTTTGTATTTGTTACTAAACAAATAATTACTTGTAAACATACTAATTCATTTTTAATACTAAAAGTACATATACGTTATACAGACATAGGTATAATATCATCCAGGGAAAATTTGAAATAACTCTCACAAAAGTAAAAAAATTATTTCAGGTTATATGCCATCCATAAAGGCCCAAAGGTTGAAAATCTCATTTTTTGATATTGGTGGCCACTTGTACATAAGCATTCCTGAACTCAAATGCTGACATGGTGCAGTTGCGTGATATTCTAGGTGAGCTGCACTCATACAGTTGCCATTTTTGTAAAACGCTTTTAAACTTCTTAACATTCGAACAAAACAAGCATTCAAAAATTTATAAAAAAAATAGAATAGAATTTACTTTTTGCTACTATTTTTTTTAATTTTGTGGGTTATTTTAAATATTCCCATTACCCTGGAAGATTCTGTATACAATGTTTATCAAATAAATAATATACCAAAAGTTGGAAGGATAAAAAAGTATACTATAAATGTCAGTTGAATTACAACTCTACACACCAACTACTGGCACATAAAATATACACATCACTGATTCTTTAGTCTTAATATAGTATCATCAATACTTTTATACACTCCTTTCTGGCATTAATAATCCGTGTTCTAGGTGCATGTGTTGTAAGGTTACAGGGTCGGACTGGCCCGGACCGCAGGTCCGCGATCGCGGACTGGGCCCCCAGCTAGTTTGGGCCCCTAAACTTCATGTTCATAAATATAAAATTAAATTAAAATATGGTTACCATTTATATTAACTGTATTTAAACATGTCTTAATATTTTGAAAATTAAGTTTCGTCTATGCACTCGGACCTACTCGTTAAATATATACCAATATAAATACGCCATACGGGACTGCTACGCAGGCCGGTGTCAACTAGTTATTCACAGTTTGCTCCGAGTCACGAGTTGTTCGTATCAACGCACCGGAGCTTAATAAAGGTGTATAAAATACTTAAATACGAGTAACTGTTGTAAGTGCCTTCAACGAGTGTATAAAGTGTATTTAAATTGTTGTTATTTTTATTTACCTTACGGTTTAAAATGAATACCAAATTGAAAAGTGGTGCGGAAAAAAGGCGCCTAAAAGAACAACAAATGTTACTCAAGGCCGGTTCTGACCCAAAACAAAAAAAAATTATCTTTTTAAAGGTAATCACGAATGATAATTCAAACGTTTCATTTTCAAATGAAAATAAAGTTACTAATGGTATCATTTCTTCTGAATCAAAGGTAAATTTAATCCGCTACTCAGGAGTCTAGTTATAATTTTGTTATAGGTAATATTGCATTTTTTGGTGCTACACGTTGGTGGAGCAAAGACAAAGCATTAAGCTCAATTATAAAATTTAATGAAACTGACATAAAAAATTCAAGATTTTTATTATTTTTAAATTTTTTGCTAGAAATAATTTCAAATCACTCTACATTTGATTCAAAAACAAAATTCACTGCTCGCACTCTATTACAAAATTGGTCTAAGTTTGATGTGATTATGACTGCAGCAATTTATCTGGACATATTTAGTATTAGCTCACCTATTTCTAAGTTTCTTCAATCTCCGTCGTTAAACTATCTAACTGCTTTTAATATGATTAACAACTTGCATAAAAAAATTAGATCTAGAAGAGATAATGCTGATAGTATATTCATTAATCTTTATTCTAAAGTTAAACATTTTATTACAGAAATAAATAAAGAGCTAGAGTTAAATAGTAGTAATTTCACTATAAAAAATGATTTTAATAAGGGAAAATCTGTAGGTAGAGTATCAAAAAAAAAAATGTCTGGTGAAGAAGCAACAGATGAACGGCCAAATATTTCACCAACTGATAGGTTTAAAATTGAAACATTTAATTATATACATGATATTTGTGCAAACAGCTTAGATAAACGGTTTATAAGTAATACAAAATTACTAAGCGATTGCATTTGCCTGGATCCTAAACATTTTAATTCGATAAAAAATGAAGTACCTGCAAATGCGTTACTAGAACTTTCAATTCTAACAACTATTGATAGAAACACACTTGCATATGAATTACAACAATTTGCTTTACAGTTTAATTCTATTACTAAAACTTTTGAAGCTACTTTCACATATTATTTAACTGAAGACTCCCAATTTCCTATTTATGAACATGAACTAGATTTAGACGAAGATCAAGCATCCGTAATTGATCCATCCAATAATTGTAAAACATGCAATAACTGTTTACGTTGTGCTTTCAATGTATTACATAATATAGTTCAACAGTGGTTGTTTTAACAATATATATTATGCATATAAATTTGTATTAACGTTGCCATGTACCCAAGTTACTTGTGAAAGAACCTTTTCCAAATTAAAAAATATCAAAACAAAACTAAGATCAACTATTTCCCAAGAAACAATGGAAGCATTGTTATTGATGAATATAGAAAGAAATGTTGAAATTGATATAGAAAGTGTAATTGATTCTATTTGAAAGAGTTCTAATGAACTTTCAAAACTTTTGTTAAATTGAATTGTAATTTATTTAAGTTTTAAAATTATTTACATTTAAATGTTTATTATCATATTATGAACCTATATATTGTTTCATATTTGTTAAAGTCAAACAAATTGTTATAAATAAAAGTATGTGTATAAAATATTACACTTTTATCTAAAATGTTTATCATTATAATGTGTTTTTTTTTTTATTACATATAATTGTTATCTTATTTAAATACAAAAATGGAGAAGTAGAGAGCGGACTAACAATTTATAGTCCAACTTTAGTAAGGCAGTAAGGGCCCTTTCATCAGATCGCAGACTGGGCCTTTTGTTGCCAGTCCGACCCTGTAAGGTTATAAGGATGAGGAGATAGCATAATTATATTATACATATGAGAAACGAAGTCTATGATTCTGTGCCCCCCCACCCCATTTTAATTTTAAATGAGAAAAATAATCAAACTTGTTTTAAAGGCGTTTAAAGAAAGGCAGAATTGCAGCAACTGAAAATGTTAAATAACTTTTCTAATTTAAAGCAAAAGTCCTGCAAAAAAATTGAATAATCATTCAAAATGTATGCACTTTTCCAAATATTATATGTAATTAAGAATCTTTGAAGAAAAAAATATAAAAACAGGTTTATGAACCATTATTATTTTATAATCTACATGTTTTTATAAGTATTATTTAGAATTTGTATATTTGTTTACCTACGTTAAAGAGAATATAACTTTAGCAGATAGTAGTAATGAAGGTATTTACTATTAAGGTAATGCCACCAAACCTTGTGAGGTGTACACAAACTACTTACTTTTAATACCTCTTACTTAATAGAATAAAAATGTTATCTCAAGGTGTAAAAAATAAAAATGTCTTAATCCATTACTTATCAGTGGTCGCTGAGGGAAATTGTCTTAGATTTAAATAATGACTTTTAAGATTTAATTAGTAAGAATAATTTAAAAATACGGATTAGTTTTAATTTTAGCTATTATGTTTATATTATAATATATATATATTATTTTACCCCATTTTACTCATTCCATTTAAAAATTCTTGTTTAGTGAATTCACATTGAGCTGCTGCTTGACATTTCCAAGCAATTATGAGCACTAATATTGAGTCTGGAGGTAATTTGAGTTCATCTAGCAAACGCATAACACCTTCAACATTAATTTTGCTCGGTTCAGCTGGATCTAAAACAATACATAGATAAACAACATATACCAACTAATTAAATGTAATCTTGTACAATTAATTTTACTGTAAATTATTAAAATACTTAAATATCTATTTGTTAACAAATAAAAAAAAACAAGTAAAATTAATAAAAAAGATTTTTATTTAAGATGTGTTATAAAAAACTGTATACTAAAACAAAGTTTTTACGATTTAAGAAAACTAATGCCTGTAGTTTTAAATATAATAAATAATTTATAATTTTACCACGATATCTAGTATACATAGCCTCCAGCTTTTTTTTATCAACTACAAAACTTAATTGGGTGTTGATTTTTACAGTTTCATATTCATGTGGACTTTGAAAAAAGTTATCTGACGCTTGTTCTAATTTCCAGTCATTTTTGGATAAACAAAAAATTGCAACACTTTCAGATGTCTGCGTAAATGTCATAAATTTTTTCACTTTATCCTTTTGAGATGATTTTAATTTGTTCTGAAAAATAAACAAATTAAAACAAGATAATGAATGGATTATATACCATTTATGTATACATAGGTACAAATAAATAAAAATGGGCTATCACAAATATTTAAGCAAATAGAGGATTATAAATGAAAATAAAGATAGTTAATGAGTTTAAAATGATCTCATACGAACAACTAAATCTATTATTAGTTACAAAGGTCGCTTACCATTTCGTAATAATTGTTGACTATAAATTAATGTTATATTTTGCAACGTAAAATTGGCGAAAAAATGTAAGTGTCCGATATTTTTGACTCACGTTTGGACATTTTTTTTTTTATTAATCACCATCCGAACTTTTGCTGATATTAAACAACTAAAACAACACATTGATAAACATTCCAAATTAAAGTGGCTGATGAATATTTGCAAATGTTTAACAAAATAGTAACAAAAGAAAACAAAAAATATTTTTTACGAACAAATTTTAACAGTTCGAGTGATAATCTCTGTAATTATAATCGTTCATAACAGTGTTGGCAAAGAGATCACAAATTGTTTTGTATGACATTCGCGTTTGAAATATTGTTAACCTGTGTATGACTTCACATAATCACGTATTTATTACCATCCTGGGGCCCAATTCTTGAAATCATACGACTAATTCTCGCATGCGACAAGAGTCATACATCTTATCGACTGTGACAAATTTTTATCGCATGCGACATATAATATGTATTCTTCATAGATAATAGAAGAATGGATCGGCCATGCAACCTTATCACACGGGAATTAATTTTAATTAGAAAAATATTTTGAGGTTATAAAAGGCAATAGATAGATAATAATTTAATGCTATCAGTTTATTGCAGAACAAAACATAGATAATATAGATATGATCTATGAACAAGACAAAGGATGTTATCTATTTTCATTTTTATATTTGAACATAACCTAACAAAATCGCCACTTGCGGGAGTGAGAAACTGCCTTCTCTCTCATACTTAAAAGACCGCGACCACTTGCGTTGTATGATTTAACATGGCCTATCCATTCTTCTATTATCTATGGTATTCTTGAACTGAAATCGATAAGATTTTATCACTTGTCGAATGCGACAAAGTAATCGAATGAACCACTGTGGTAACAACACAAAATCTAGATTTTAACCTCAAACAAATTAAAAAATTTGCAAAGAATAAGGTTTATCTTTTATCACTGATTTTAATGTTGAGTTCATAAAACACTAAGATACTAAATTTACTTTTAGTAATTTTTTATAATATTATAATATAGTTGTATTACTCCATATTAGATACCTAGGTATTATACCTTTGGTCAATAGGATATTAGGAAAAAAGTCTTGGAAAAAGTCCCTTATAAAAACGTCACACGGAAAAAATTCCCCTCGTAAATTATTTTAAAAAAAAAATCAAAAAAATCTTATAATAATATTTAAAATAATAAATATATTTATTCAGATATATGGTTTACCCATCGTTAATTAATTAAAAATTAAATAAAATATATATTATAATAATAGTATTTAAAAAATATAAAAAAGTTTATATTTTGTTTACCTATCGTAAATTAATTAAATATTTAAAAAAAAAACGTATCTTATATTATTAGTATTTGAAAATATAAAAATGTATTTAATCAGATATGTGGTTTACCCATCGTAAATTAATTAAAAATTTAAAAAAAAATACCTTATCATAATAATATTTAAAAATATATATAAAAATGTATTATCTACAACAGACATAGGCGCAACTAGGGGGGGTCCAGTCTTTTATTTAGCACCCCCTGTTTGGAACACCAAAAACTAAAAAAAATATATGTAAAGAGAAAAAATTTTCTTCAACAGTATTTTAAGTAAAGTGCATCTAGTTGGTGCATTCGGGAGGTGAAATTTTGAAATTCCCTATAGTTTTTTCTCAATATTATAGATGAATAACTCTTATAAAATGGCTAGTTTAGAATTTTTTTTATTAGGCCATGGTAAAAATGAGTCCATATAAGGGACATAATATTATTAATGTATAAGTATATAATTGTTTACTAGTTTAGTTTTTAGTAATAGTTTTTTTTATTTCTACGTTTTAAACCACAAACTTAACAATGAATATATGTTAAATAAAAGTAAATGATAAGTACTACTTATGGCTTATTGTAGGTAGGCTCAAATATAGTGGTACCTACTACCTACCTCTCTTTAACAACTTATTTTGACGAAACTTTATATTACAACAAAATTTACATAGATGGTTAATTTAAATGTTTTTTTTTTAAATTTTATTTATTTATTAATATTATATATTATTATTTATATGCATTTTGTACACTAAAAATAAATTATATAAATGAAAAAATATCACTGATATATTATATTAAAAACATTAAAGTAATTGATTGTAAATTTATATTATTAATTGATACTATAATTATTTTTATTGGTAACTTCAACTAAATTCTAGTAAAAATATTTCTGAAAATGTAGCTATTAATGTTGAGTAAATTTGGCTAAATTAATATATAAATAAATTAGCAATAATTTAATTTTGTTCACAGTAATGAAATAATATATTTTTAGGTATATAATGTTATTTAATTTATATTATGTGTTATTGGTTGAAGAAGTATAATTTAGAGCATTGACTTTTTATTTAGATTTTATCGATTTAAGACTATTTGTATAGTACGAAAAATTGGGTATTTTAGAGACTGGCCGATTAATACAAAGTAATTTACAAAACTAAAATGACAAATTGACAAATCGATGATCGATGAGAATCGGTAATAATATTTATTTCTGTTATAATCATGTTATAATAATCGATAATGTAAAAATTGTTATCACATTTCATACATTATCATGCGACTAAAGTTTGTCACTGACTTATACCCAGTAGACAAACAGTCGAATGTTTTTCGTTCGACTAAAGTCATATATCTTTTCAAGAATACCAAATATTTATTTTCATGCGATAAACTTTTTATCGCATGCGACAAAGCTTATCACAATTTCAAGAATTGGCCCCCTGCATTCGCACATATTATCACAGATTCACATTTCAGTATTTCACAGACATAAACAGATAAAATATCGAGGCGTGTAAATTGATCGGTAATCGATCAAAAAGACCAAGAAAAAAGGAACACGGAAAAAAGAACAATTTTTAAAAATATAATAAATACCTATTAATTGATTATCACAAAAGAAATAAAATATTAATATCAATATATTAATTTATAATTACCTATAAATCACCGGAAACGTTGTAAACCTACAAAAAAGCTATTAGTCAAATTGTCTATACATTTACATAAATGCTTCGTTCTCATTCCTATTTATTTCATTCCTATTCAAAATATTCTATAAATCAATTGACATACATTTAAATATAATAAGAAAGTTAAAAAAAAATGAACTAATGATGATCGATAGTACCTATATTATTGGTAGGTATGAGTCGATTTTTGATATTTTATTTTAACTTGTGATATTTTACTTTTTGAATTTGAATTATCGAGTTTAGTAATGGAAATCTCAAAAATGTACTTTTTAACAGGCACAGATTAATTCCTCTTCTACATTATAGAGAAAAGGATTTTTTACTATCAAACCGTTGAATAAACCATATTATTGGAAATACAAAAATGTATTTTCATAGCATTTTCCATACTATTAATATTTGATACCTACTCATAATTTGATTTTTTTTTTTTTTAATAGTCAATTAATATTAATATATATATACATATGTATATATAATTTTTTTAAATTGTTCTTTTTTCCGGGATTCGTATATGTCATATTTTCCGGTAGGTATTTAGCATACTGCTTGAGTACATTTTTTTGGTAGGTAGCATTTGACTGTACGTAGCATACTACAAGAGTAGTTACCCTCAAAAAATAATAAATTGTGTAATTAATAGGTAAATAATAATATTTCTTAAAATACCTATAATATAAGAAGCAACTATTATTATATATTTTACAAGGTATAATAAATTAATAATTATAACGTGATCAATTTGAATCCCGGAAAAAAAAATACCAAGGAAAAAAGAACAATTTTTAAAAATTATATACCTATACATATACATTAATTTATCACGATTTAAACCCAATTTATTTTTTTTAGAGCGTACCTACTCTTGTATGCTACACACCGTCAAATGCTACCTACCAAAAAAATGTACTCAAGCAGTATGCTAAATACCTACCGGACAATATGACATACGTAATCAGGTAATCTTATACTATAAGTCTACAATATAGGTACTGTATATTGTATATACATATATATAATATGTTAAAATTGTATTCAATTTTATTACTGAAAAGTACCTGTGTTACTTGAGTTATTGAGATTATCAATAAAATATTATAACGACCATACAAACGTGACAAAATTATAGTCTATAATAGATATCATACCGGTAATCTACCGATAAATATCCACAAAGACCCACAATAACTTACTTTTAGATATTAAATCATTATTTAGTCTTTGTTGTATCTTTCCACCTATATTATAACGTATTAAAATACTGGACAATGGAGATCATCAGCAATATTTTTAGTTAAATAAATTGTTATTAATCTGCAGTAGGTACTGCAGTAGCTATATACAAATAGTAAACATTCCTAAACTGTTTTGATAAGTAGCTCTTTAGTCTTTGAGTAGGTAGTATAATATACTACGCCAACGAAATACCTAGAGTATGTAGAGGTAGGTCGTAGGTAGCATACCACACGAGTACCAATTATTATATTATATTAAGAAAATTATTATAAATTAAATTATCTTTCATAAAAATTAATCATAAAAAAAAAAAACTACAAATGAGCTTGTTTCTGCTGTAGGTTTCGAGACATGTGTTTCGTCGAGTGTGTATATATAACTATATACTTGGTCATTGAAGATTAGGTCACTAACTCACTAATGAATAAATTTAAATTTAATTCAGTGATAGTGAAAAAGCATTGTAAGGACGACTGCACGAGCCACTGCACAAGTGTTATATAGACCCTCTTGGCAGCCGGCAGGTATACCCATGACAAAGTATATTTTGTCCCTAAGTGTCCGTCCGGCTCACTCGGCTACCCAGCGATATTCGGGGGCCATTGGATTCACTGTGAATCATTCACAATATGGGGGGAGGCTCATGCCCCAAGGGAAAAATGTATATTTGAATCATTTGTAAGTCGTGAATGGGG